GGGCTCCATAAATGCCTCCCAAATGAACAGAGAAATGCTGAAGAGAATGAAATGTTCCAAGTATTAAGAAGAAGCCATTTCATTCTCACAATTTCTATCTAGGTAATGGTTCTGACTGGCCCTCTGAAAGGGGTCTCATAAGCCAATGCTTAATAATGCTTTCTTAGCAGCTTGTTCTAAATGCTTGATAATACCCAACTTACATTAACTTTTTCCTAAACAAAACAAGCTTCTCTCTTTGAAGTCTAAGTGTGTGAGGTTTTACTACAGTCCTGTTTCTCTGAATGGTCAAAGTCTTCTAACCTCTCCCTCAACTCGGATGCTATTAATCAGGGCAGTATACAGTGGGTCTTACACTAAGGGACCCAGTAGGGACAACTGGCTCTTTGTTTTCTCCCCCAAGTTGGGTTTGAATCAGTCCTGAGTTACTGTATTTATTCCTCATGATCCTTTAGGTTCATGATTTACATTCATATTATGTTAGACTTTAGGACTTGAGGATTACAGCACATTGAAAACAGAGGACACGGCTCTATTGATTACCTCATCATCCCAGAACACACTGCTGGCTGGCCTATGACACATTTATTATTATAAATGGTAACGTCTCAGTCCCTTTCACACAAAAGTAAACCAGGCAGGGCTTTCAAATTCATAATCCTTTGATTTTTAGCTGCAATGGAAATCTGGTGCTTGACTCAGGAAATCAGGGAGATGATAGGAGGATTATATTTATTTCTGATAAACCGTCATTTGTTGTTCTGATGCAAAGGAAAGTAAAAACTGAATCTGTAGTTGCAAGACATAAATCATGCTCTTAAAGCAACCAGGAAGAATGAATGCTCAGGCTGGGCACGGTGGTTCATGCCTGTAATCACAGCACTTTGGGAGGTCGAGGCGGGTGAATCACCTGAGGTCAGGGTTTCGAAACCAGCCTGGCCAACATGGCAAAACCCCGTCTCTACTAAAAATAGAAAAAACAGCCAGGCATGGTAGCACATGTCTGTAATTCCAGCTACTCGGGACACTGAGGCAGGAGAATTGCTTGAACTCAGGAGGCAGATGTTGCAGTGAGCTGAGATACTGCCACTGCATTCCAGCCCGGGTGACAGAATGAGACTCCATCTCAACAACAACAACAGCAAAATGAATGTTTGAATACAATGTTCTTGAAATATTTCTATAGGAGCTGGACATTGGAGAGACAAAGAATACAGTCTTTCTTGCCCAAGGAGATCACTACTTCCAAGGATGCTGAAATACGTGCTTAGGTTTAATCTATAAAGCCAGTTTAACAAAAGCACATAATAGGAAGCAATAAATACGCTTGAGGGGGGAAGGAAAGTTTCACAGACGAAAAGACAGTTGGACTCCACCTTGAAAAACTCATAGATTTTTCACCAGGAAAAATTTGAAGGAAAACATTTTAGGTAAAGAAAATTATGTGAGTCAAAGTGCAGAAGAATGAAAAGTACAAGGTTTGTTCCATGATGCATATGGGGTTCAATATGTCTGGCATAGAGGGTATTGGGTGTGGAGATAGAAAATGAGATTTAAGAAACTGATTAAAGCCAGATCACATAGAATCTTAAGTGTGCCAAGAAGTTTGGAATTTATCTTACAGAAATGGAAAACCATCAGTCTGTTCAAAACATAATTGCAAGAAAAGAGGGATGTTTTAGAAAGATGACTGGTTGTATGGAACATAGATAGGAAAAGACAAGAGGCTGAAGACGGAGATGGAGTTGTTTCCAAATTTTAAGGATGAGATAACCTAAAAAGAAAACACAACAACTACATAATACATGAAAAGAGGTAATTCCTTCTGTTTCTGCTCCACACAATGTGAGGATGACACCTTAAAATGTCTACATGAGGCGGGGCTCCGTGCTCATGCCTATAATCCCAGCACTTTGGGAGGCCAAGGCGGGAAGACCGTGAGGTCAGGAGTTTGAGAACAGCCTGGCCAAGATGGCGAAACCTCATCTCTACTAAAAAATACAAAAATTAACCAGGCATGGGGGCGCGCGCCTTTAGTCCTAGCTACTCGAGAGGCTAAGGCAGGAGAATCACTAGAACCCAGAAGGCAGAGGATGTGGTGAGCCGAGATCACGCCACTGCACTCCAGTCTGGGTGACAGAGCAAGACTCCATCTCAAAAGAAAAAAAAATAAGTCTACATGAAATTCTGAAGCCTTCATTCCTATCATCCCAGTGGAACTTGTAGAATAAGAAGCACTGTTTTGGCCACATTGAAACAGTGTGAATAATACAAGGTATGCAAATTGCAAATGAAAAAGTTAAATCATCTCTTTTTTTTGACAGATGACATGATCTTGTTTTTTTTTTTTTTTTTTGAGACAGAATGGAGTGCAGTGATACGATCACAGCTCACTGCAGCCTTGGCCTTCTGGGCTCATGCAGTCTTCCCACCTCAGCCTCCTGAGGACATGATCTTATATATAGAAAACCCTACGACTACACATACGTGTGCACACGCACACACGTGTGGGCGCACACAGACACACACACACACACGGCCTATATAGCTAATAAATTCAGCAAAGTGACAGGATAGAAAATCAACGCATGAAAATCCACTGCATTTTTATACACTAGCAATGAACAATTTGAAAAAAATTAAGAAAACATTGTCACTTACAATAACATCAGAAAGAATATTTAGAAATAAACTTAACTAAGGAAGCAAGACTTGTATACTGAAAACTGCAAAACACTGCTGAAATTAAAGAAGACATAAATAAATGGAAATATACCCAACGTTCATTGACTGAAAGATTTCATATAGTTAAAATAATATTACCCAAATCAATCTAAAGATTCAATGTAATCCCTATTAAAATTTCAAAGACATATTTTTTTAAAAATAAAAAACTCAAACTAAGATTAATGTGGAATCACAAGGAAACTTTAAATAGACAAAACAATCTTAAAAATCAAGAACAAAATTCAAGGTGTCATATTTCCTAATTTCAAAACTTACTATAAAGCTATGGTAATCAAAACAGCATGGTATTAGCAAAATGACAGAGATAGTCCAATGGAATCAAATAGAGAGCCTGGAAATACATCATCACATATATGATCAATTAGTTTTCAATAAATATGCCATGACCATAAAATGAGGAAAGGATATTCTTTTTAACAAATGGTTCTGGGAAAACTGGATATTCACATGCAAATAAATGAAGTTGGACCCATATATTTCATCATATACATACATTAACTCAAAAGAGATCAAGAACCTAAACTCAAAGGCTAAAACTATGAAACCCTCAGAAAAAAAACAGAGGGAAATATCTTTATGATATTAGATTTGGCAATGATTTTTTTTGATATGACACCAAAAACACAGGCAACAAAAAAACAAATAGACACACTGGATTTTAAAATTTAAAAGTAAGTGCATTAAGGACACCATCAAGAGAATTAAAAGGCAACCCACAGAGTAGGAGGAAATATTTACAAACTGTATATCTGATAAGGAATTAATATCCAGAAAATAGAAAGAACTCCTGCAACCTAACAACAGCAGCGAAACAATAGAACTGAAGACCAGGCAAAAGACTCAGACGTTTCTACAAAGCTGTTACACGAATGGCCAGTGAATATACAAAAGATGCTCGAGGGAAATGCAAAGCAAAGTCATGACGAGATACCACTTCAAACCATTAGGATAATTATTATCAAAAAAGAGGACAATAACAAGTGTTGATGACAAAGTAAAGAATTTGGAACCTTTGTGCATTATTGGCAGGAAGATAAAATGATACAGCTACTGTGAAAAAAAATATGGCATTTCCTCAAAAAGGTAAACATGGAATTATTATATGATCCAGAAATTCTGCCCCTAGGTATGTGCTAGGTATATGCAAAAGATTTGAAAGCAGAGACTCAGAGAAACTTGTACACTAGTGTTAACAGCAGCATTGTTCATAATGGCTAAAAGCTGGAAGCAACCTAAGTGTCATTAACAGATGAGTGGATAAACCAAATATGGTATATACATATAGTGGAATATTATTCATCCATAAAAAGGAATGAAGTTCTGATACACACTGCAGAGTGGATGAACCTTGAAAGAATTATGCTAGGTGAAATAAACCAGACACACAAATATTGTATAATTCCACTTATATGAGCTACTGAGAGTAGACAAATTCACAGGGACAGAAAATAGGATGGTAGTTGCCGGGGCAGGGTGCGAGTGGAGGTGGGTGAGGCAGGGGCGTAGGGCGAGTTATTGTTTAATCAGAACAGAGTTTCTGTCTGAAATAGTGAAAACTTCTGGAAGTGGATTATGATGCTGGTTGCACAGCAATGTGAACTTAATGAACAATATCATTAACAGTATCAGTATCACCAAACACTTTAAAATAGTTGATATGGTAAATGTCATGTTATGATACTTCAGGGCAGTAAAATAAATAAAAAACAAAACTCCAGCATGATAACACTATTTTGACTGTAACTGAGTCTCTGTCAGGTAGAGAAAATAAGCAACCTATATAGACACCTCTTTGCAGACCCAGTTGTGAGCTGGAAGCTGTGAAAAGAAATCCAGGCCGGGCGCGGTGACTCAAGCCTGTAATCCCAGCACTTTGGGAGGCCAAGGCGGGCGGATCACGAGGTCAAGAGATCGAGACCATCCTGGCCAACATGGTGAAACCCCGTCTCTACTGAAAATACAAAAATTAGCTGGGCGTGGTGGTGTGCACCTGTAGTCCCAGCTACTCGGGAGGCTGAGGCAGGAGAATTGCTTGAATCCGGGAGGCGGAGGTTGCAGTGAGCTGAGATTGTGCCACTGCACTCCAGCCTGGCACCTGGCGATAAAGTGAGACTCTGTCTCAAAAAAAAAAGAAAAAAAAAAAAACCAAAAAAAAAAAAAAAAGAAGAAGAAATCCAAAGGCTGAAATGGTGAAGACTGTCCCTTGTCGGCGCAGGTGATCAAGATGTCAAAGAAAGTCATGGTAAACTTACATTGCAGTTTGATGAGCCATCAAATGTTGGGTAAGAACCATCTGGCCAGTCGGCAGGGTCCAGAGCAGCCGACTGCCGGTGCTGGGCCTCATATTCCTTCAGCTGCAACAAGAAGAAACGGAATACTGAAGTGGAAATCATGGCCAGGCGCTGGCCAGACCTTTTACAAGGAAATGACTAAAATAATACATCTAGGTTCCTGGTTGAAAAGCTTGTGCCCAAGCAGCAGAGATCACTTTGGGTACCTTCTTCATGCCAGTATTGGTAACTAAGCGTCAGCCAAAGACACCTTTCCCAAAACCAAGAGGAAGGTAAGGACCCTGTCCATTGGGTTTTCATCTAAGTCAAATCAACAGGCACAATGGACTCTGTTCCAGAAAGAATCTTCACTTTCCCCCTCTAACATCAAAACTTAATGTTTCTTCAGCTTGATTATACAGAAATCGTCTGTAGTTTGGCCTCTGAATTACCTTCCCAAGTCTGTAAGTCAAAAACATGCATGTCCTTTTTAGGAAGAGAAAATGATAAGACTATAGACATTTTAGTGAAACAGGGTCAAACCCTGAAACATACATATACATATATATATTTGTTGTTGTTTTTGTTACAATAGGACCTCACTCCGTCGCCCAGGTTGCAGTGCAGTGGTACAAACATGGCTCACGCAGACTTGACCTCCCAGGCTCAAGCAATCCTTCCACCTCAGCATCCTGGGTAGCTGGGGCTATAAGCATGTAGCCCACCTAATTTTTGCATCTTTTTGTAGAGATGGAGTTTTACCATGTTGGCCAGGCTGGTCTCGAACTCCTGAGCTCAAGTGATCTACCCCCTCAGCCTCCCAAAATGCCGAGGTTACAGGTGTGCGCCACCACACCTGGCCCTGAAACAGAGTTTTAAAAATCACATGCTTGTCTTGCTCAAAGTGGCTTCAAGTTGCTAATCCAGTGTTATCACCTAATAAACGTTATGGGGTTTCCCGGAGACCTTTGAGGGGGGGGTATCTGTATTCAGACCTTTGACATATTGAAAGTTTAGGTTCAGAAACAAGGTTTCTGGTTTTTGAAAAACAGAGAAAGACAATTGAAATGCTACAGCAGGCGGGGCAAGAGGCCGAGGGCGGGTGGATAATCCGAGGTCAGGAGATTGAGACCAGCCTGGCCAACATGGTGAAACCACAAAAATTAGCTGGGCATGGTGGCGCATGCTTGTAATCCCAGCTACTCAGGAGGTTGAGGCAGGAGAATTGCTTGAACCTGGGAGGTGGGGGTTGCAGTGAGCCAAGATCATGCCACTGCACTCCAGCCTGGGCGACGAGAGTGAAATTCTGCCTTAGTATATATATATATACATATGTTATAGCAAAGTGAGGAGAGTTACTTTAAAAAAATTTTTTATAACCTCTTTTACTATACTTCTCAAATAAGTGAGCAAATACAACTTAGCAAGATGAGATCTTTCAGAATGGCATATGTGAGACAGTCCAGGTGTCACACACAACTTGAGTTCTGGAGCTCAAAACAATTGGCACTGCATTAAAATCCTATTATAAAGGAGTGTGCAGCTATGAATTTAAGACAGTTATCAAATCATGTTTCATGAGACAAGCAACTTAAAAACAGAAATAACTGGCCGGGCGCGGTGGCTTACGCCTGTAATCCCAGCACTTTGGGAGGCCGAGGCGGGTGGATCACGAGGTCAAGAGATCGAGACCATCCTGGTCAACATGGTAAAACCCCGTCTCTACTAAAAATACAAAAAATTCAGCTGGGCATGGTGGCGCGTGCCTGTTATCCCAGCTACTCAGGAGGCTGAGGCAGGAGAATTGGCCTGAACCCAGGAGGCGGAGGTTGCGGTGAGCCGAGATCGCGCCATTGCACTCCAGCCTGGGTAACAAGAGCGAAACTCCGTCTCCAAAAAAAAAAAAAAAAAAAACAGAAATAACTGAGGCTGACTGCCCATGCCATGGTGACTGGACGATCCCGAAGGCCCGGAGCTTGAGGAGGCGGTAGCGCCACGACAATGACAAACGTTCCTCTAGGAAAAAGCCACTTTCACAACTGTGATTTCAACTACGAAATTCTTTTCTGCATATATGTGGGAGGGGGTAGGCAGTGCTGATTATAGTAAGAGCTTGAATACAGAGCTACACACCAGCTGGGAGCCCTGAGGACAAATCACTTACGCCCTCTATACTTCTGTTCCTCCACCTGGAAAACAGGCATGACAACAAATCTATCTTACAGAGCTGTTACCAGAATTAACTAAGATAATGCAGCTACGCTCTTAGCACGCCATATTTAAGCAATAGACTTATTCTAGTACTGTTATTATCACCATTGTGCTTTCAGAGAAAACAAAGCTCAACGTTCACACTAACGGCATGTTGAAATGTTTTCGTATGAGGGGTATTAACCATTTTAATCTTTGTATTACATTAGGGATGCTTAGAATGTTCCAGTCTTTACAGTATATTTATGTTATACACTAGGATGTTCTTTCCATTTTGATATATCGGCTTGTAAAATGCTACGTTCTCCCTGTATGATTGAAAGTATCTGCCTGTTGGAAAATTGGATTATCATGAGATTATCAGGTCTTCAGGTGTTTAGTCCATGTTGATACCCAACCTTAGCCCCAACTACTAAGAGCCGCTAAATAACTTTCATTGTTAATGAAAACAGGTACCAATTTCTAACTAGTCAATCATATATAGGCTATTTTTTTTCCTGCTGCATGCTCATCTCTGCTATCTACTTTGGGACTGAAACATGTGTGCTCTTCTGATAGAGCACACTTTGCCACAAAACTGGTTTTTTGGTTTGTTCTCTGTAACAGGGTCTCACTCTGTTGTCCAGGCTGGAGTACAGTAGTGCAATCACGGCTCACTGTATCCTTGAACTCCCTGATTCAAGCAATCCTCCCATCTCAGCCTCCCAAGTAGCTGGGACTACAGGGGCATGGCACCACATCTAGCTAATTTTTTTTTGTATTTTTTGTAGAGATGGAGTTTTACCATGTTGCCCAGGCTGGTGTTGAACCCCTGAGCTCAAGTGATCCGCTGCCTCAGCCTCTCAAAGTGCTGGGATTAGAGGCATGAGCCACAGCACCGGCAACTGTTTTTTAATTGTCCTAGTTACACAACTCAGAGTATTTTAAAGTTACAAAAGAAGATCTCTTTTTTTTTTTTTTTTTAAGTGTACTACGCAGGAAAAAAAAATCTACATAATTACACAGGTTATTACATAGATAATTACCTGTGTAATTACATTTTTATATTCCACTTTGCTTCAGGAAGTTTTGGCTTAATTATAATTTAATGAAGGCATGACTATTTGTGATTTTCATTAAAGAATGTGTACCTTTTAAAGCAAATCCGTAGTGTTTTACACATTAATTCCAGAAGTTAAAAAATAATGACATTTTAAAGTATGTAGGCCGGGCGCGGTGGCTCAAGCCTGTAATCCCAGCACTTTGGGAGGCCGAGGCAGGTGGATCACGAGGTCAAGAGATCGAGACCATCCTGGTCAACATGGTGAAACCCCGTCTCTACTAAAAATACAAAAAATTAGCTGGGCATGGTGGCATGTGCCTGTAATCCTAGCTACTCAGGAGGTTGAGGCAGGATAATTGCCTGGAGAATTGCCTGAGCCCAGGAGGCGGAGGTTGCGGTGAGCCGAGATCGCGCCATTGCACTCCAGCCTGGGTAACAAGAGCGAGACTCCGTCTCAAAAAAATAAATAAATAAATAAATAAATAAAGTATGTGTGTGTTTATGTGAGCGTGTGTTTGTCTTAAGCAGAAACGTTCCCGCACATCCTTTGTTCCCTATTCTAATTGTTTTCTCACAGTTCAAGTCCATGACATGATTGTTTAGAATGATGGCTGTCTTTAAAAGAGTAATGCTTATTCCATCTTGGAGACCTTTAGGGACAGATATATCATAATGTTTCAATTTCTACTAGTACTTACTATAAAGAGTATTTATATTACATTAAACCAAAATCCACTCCAGCTGCTTTTTAAATTCATTTCTTTCTAATCTGTCCTCAGTAGAGATTTTAAAAACAAACAAACAATTAAAACATTCTCCAGGACATTTGAAAGATGTACTCTTTAACAACCCTTCAGACACCTGAAGATGTGATTAAGTTCTTTTCTGCTTCCTTTGAGATACATCCTTTCCAACTTCTCACCATCAGATCAATTTTTTAAAAACTTTCTATGGATTCTATAAGCCTCTCTATGTGTCCAAATCTCTGTGATTTGATACACAATAGCTTTTACAAGGAAATGACTCAATAATACATCATAATACATCTAGGACCCTGGTTCATAAGCTTGCGCTCTGGTATACCAGATGTCCAGATTACCTTTATGACTTTCTAAGAATGTCAAGTAGGTATAAATTCACACACCCTGCTTTAGAGAACATGACTAAAAGAAGCTGTCTCCTCAACGATATCTAGATGGCTGCTCCCTGTCCCCAATCAACTTTCAGACACCTTATCCCTGGCATGACAAATTCTATAATGCCATTCAACCTCCAGGGCTCCCCGCTCCCTTTGGAATCAGGCTGAGGCTAGACTCCTTCTGAAATCATCTCTGTCCAACTTCATCCTTCTCTCTTCCTTGTCCCTCACTTAGAGGTTTCTCTTAAAAGCCCTCTTTCAATAAGCCACTTGCACAATGCTATAGTTTGGATGTCTCTTTCCCCAAACCTCACACTGAAATTGAATTCAGACACTGGGGATGGGGACATAAAGAGAGGTGCTTGGGGCCATGAGGGAGGATCCCTTAAGAATTTCTTAATACCCTGGGGAGGGGTGGGGAAGGTGATTTTTTCACTCTATTTGTTCCCCAAAGAGCAGTTGTTAAAAAAGAGCCAGGCACCTTCCCTCTCCCTCCTGTTTCTTTTCACCAAGTGATCTCTGCACACACCGCCTTCCAGCAAAAGCAGCCTAAGGTTTTCCTTAGATGGCCAGTCTCCTGGCAGGCAGAATCATGAGCCAAATAAACCTCTTTTAAGTTACCCAGTCTCCGGTATTCCTTTATAGCAACACTAAATAGACTTAGATACACAAGAATCCCTGTCTCACGCTCTGCTTCCAGGGAATCCGATATATGATACCTGGAATTAAGAAAAGTTTGGGCCAGGCACAGTGGCTCATGCCATTGTAATCCCAGCACATTGGGAGGCTGAGGTGATAAGATCACTTGAAACCAGGAGTTCGAGACCAACCTGGGCAACATTGTGAAACCTTGTCTCTACAAAAATAAAATAATAATAATAAAATTAGCCAGATGAGGCCAGGTGTGGTGGCTCATGCCTGTAATCCCAGCACTCTGGAGGCCAAGGCAGGTGGATTACTTCAGGTCAGAAGTTCGAGACCAGCCTGGCCAACATGGTGAAACCCCATCTCTACTAAAATACAAAAAATTAGTCAGTGGTGGTGCACACCTGTAGTCCCAGCTACTTGGGAGGCTGAGGCAGAAGAATTGCTTGAACCTGAGAGGGAGAGGTTGCAGTGAGCCAAGCATTCCAGCTTGGGCAACAGAGCGAGACTCTCTCAAAAAAAAAAAAGAAAAATTAGCCAGGTGTGGCCACTGGCATGTGCCTAGAGTCCCAGCTACTCAGGAAACTAAGGCATGAGACCCACTTGAGCCTGGGAGGTCAAGGCTGCAGTGAACCATTGATCATGCCACTGCACTCTAGCCTGGGCTACAGAGTGAGACCCTGTCTCAAAAAAAAAAAAAAAAAGTTCATGATGCCAGAACATCAGTGACAGTCAATGACAAACATTAAGTGCTCTTTTCTCAATCTCCAAAGGACTTTACTTCTGACTTTCACATGGATATCGTGTTTGAATCAGATACATACATTATCAGATAAATCAATATGTAATACTTAATGATTAGATCACATTGACTTGAGCAGTCTTTAGTGTAAATAATCACTTTTAAGTAAATGTGATTATTAAATCATGGTCATAGATCTCTCTCTATTACCTATAGACAGTGCTTCCAGTTAAAATTGCAAAGGACATATTTTTCTACCACACAGCTCCATCAATGCTGATTATTATCATGCCAAAAAATGTACTACTATTCTCTTTTATCCAAGGCTTTACAATGTGAGTGTATTCCCTTATCTTCACCCACCCCAACACACACGCAAATTACTCACATAAATGAATAGCCGATAACTTCCAAGTATGGGCTTTCTACAGCTTATGGAGTTAGTAAAAGAGCTGAATATCCTGAACTTACTTGCCAAGAGCTATATAAGCCCTTAAAACTGGTACAGGCACAACTCATTCTACTGAGTGAGCTTCACTCTGCTGCACATCACAGAACCTGCGTTTTTATGAACTGAAGGTTTGTGGCAGCCCGGCATGGAACAAGTTTATCAGCGCCATTCTTCTAACAGCATGGGTGCACTTTGAGTCCCAGTGTCACATTTTGGTAATTCCTACAGTATTTCAAACTTTTACGTTCTTATTACATCTGTTATGGTGACCTGTGATCCATGACCTTGGATGTTAATATTGTAACTATTTTGGGGAACCACAAACCTAAACATATAAGATAGTGAACTTAGGCCAGGCACGGTGGCTCATGCCTGTAATCCCAGCACTTTGGGAGGCCGAGGCGAGTGGATCACTAGGTCAAGACATCAAGACCATCCTGGCCAGCATGGTGAAACCCAGTCTCTACTAAAAATGCAAACAATTAGCCACAAGTGCCTGTACTCCCAGCTACTCAGGAGGCTGAGGCAGGAGAATTGCTTGAACCCAGGAGGCGGAGATTGCAGTGAGCTGAGTGTAGATGTGAGTGGAGGCTTCAGACCTTTGGCCTGGATGCAGCCTCCTTGGCCACGTTTGTGTGGTTGCAGAAGCAGCTACAAATCTCATTGAGAGCAGGACTGTTGTCTGTAAGGCAACTCAGAAACAAAGAAACCAGAAGAAAAAATCCAAGGCATTCTCTAAACTTTAGTAGATTCTACAGACAAGGAAGAGTGCCCGTTGGCAGATGAAGAAGTCACAGAGCTGCTTATTAGACTGTTCTCAGGGCAGCATACATCCTCAACTACTGGTGCCTAAATGAGCTGCTTCATAGCCAGAGATGAAACACTTCATGAAAAATGTTGTCTGAAGCAGAAAACTGTCCATGGAGGGGATCTACATCCTTTAACTTATGACCTGCTCAAGACTGAAACTCCCCAGCACTTTGGGAGGCCAAAGCAGGCGTATCACCTGAGGTCAGGAGTTCAAGACCACCCTGGCCAACTGATGAATCCGTCTTTACTAAAAACACAAAATTAGCTGGGCGTGGTGACGCATGCCTGCAATCCCAGCTACTCCCGGAGGCTGAGGCAGGATAATCGCCTGAACCCTGGAAGTGGAGGTTACGGTGAGCTGAGATCGCGCCATTGCACACCAGTCTGGGCAAAAAGAGCAAAACTGTGTCTCAAAAAAAAAGAAAGATGGAAACTTATTTGATCACCATATAGAAGAAGTTGGGACTCAGACTTCATGTATTGGCTATACTGAGAATGGTTAAACTGCCTCAGAGGGTGTGATAGGACATGCCATTCCTCCAGGCTCCCAGATGGGTTTATCTCCCACTGTCAATCAAGGATTTCAAGACACCTGGGTGGAGCTTGTGGCTGTGAATCCTGATCAGTGATTACAGGACAACTCAACAGAAGAGAAGATGGTCTATGCACGATTTGGAGGCAGGCATCATCATGTTGAGAAAAATTTTGCCCATGTTCAAATCAAGACAATTAGGTCCACTCTGTTTCATTTGTATGAATCTGATTTAATTGATGGATATTTTCCCACTATAAACTGTAAAACCATGATTAATCACACCCCTAAAACCCAGTTATCACATACAAATGACGATCAAAACGAAAAAGGCTACAAAGAATTAATATGTGAAACACCACTGTAAGCTGAAAAAGCATTTGAAAAGAATGAAATTTACAAAACACACCTCAGTGTACTGTCTTTTTTAGTGCAATTTTAAAAGATAGCTTAACTTAGGATTTCAATATTTTATTTACTGCACGCTTTCATCCCATCTAATGGTTTTAACAGACATTTTCTAATAGCTTTAGGATGGGTAATTAATACACATGCTTTAAAGAAGTCAAGCTCATTAGTTAAAAAGCTGCTTAGGGAGATCTAGGTCATAGGCAGATTTTAAATAACAATTTCTGTGCACAGGCATTCCTCAGAGGTATTACAGGTTTGATTTCAGACCACTGCAATAAAGGGAATATTGCAGTAAAGTGAATCTCATAAATTTGCTGTTGTTCTCAAAAAACCAGTGTCTTAATTTATCATAACACGTACTTCCTTATCTCTTCATAGAACTGAAGAGTTAGGGGCTTGCTCTGGATTAGGCTTTGGCTTACGAGAGTGTCATGGCTGTTAGGATCTCCCCAGCCCACCCCGACTTTCTCCACGTCAGCAGTAAGGCTGTTCCATTTTCTTATCATATGTGTGGTCACTGGAGTAGCGCTTTTCATTTCCTTCGAGAACTTTTCCTTTGCATTCCCAGCTTAACTGTTTGATGCCAAAGGCCTAGCTTTTGGCTTACCCTGGCTTTCAACACGCCTTCGGCGATGAGCTTAATCATTCCTAGCTTTTGATTTAAAGTACGAGGCATGCTACTGTTCCTTTCAATTAAATGCATAGAGGCGATTGCAGGGTTATTAACTGGCCTAATTTAAATACGTTGTGTTTCAGGAAATAGGGAAACTTGAGTCAGATGGAGAGAGATAAGAGAGCAGCTGGTCAGTGGAGTCATCAGAGCACACCCATTTATTCATTATGTTCACTATCTTTTTTTTTGAGAGGGAGTCTCACTGTCGCCAGGCTGGGAAACATGAGGAGACTCTGTCTCTGTAAAACATTTAAAAATTAACTAGGTGTGGTGGCACACGCCTGTGGTCCCAGCTACTCAGGAGGCTGACATGGGAGGATCGCTTAGGCCCAGGAGGTTAGCTGCAGTGAGTTGTGACTGCCCTGCACTATAGACTGGGCAACACTGTGAGATCTCAACTCGAAAAAACAAAAATGAAAACAAAAACCTGATGTTTATGATGCTTTTACATTTGATTCTTATTTAATAATTAATTTTTTACTACTGATTACATTCTTTTCAAAATCCTTGTGGATTTTGCAGTTGCATTCAGAAAGATTCTTATTTATTAATTAATTGTTTTAAACACTGATTATATTCTTTTCAAAAGGTCGTTTTCCTTGTTAATGTGGTCCACAGATCAAAAATATCTGCCATCCATTCATTCATTCATTCATTCATTCATGTTTTCATTGACTGCAAGTTTTACCTCACAAGGTAGAATGCTTTTATCAAATAAACAGAATAGATATTTTATCTGATATCAGGGGTACCTGAGTACTATACCCCTTGATGGCCCCAAACATTTTTACGCTTCAGGAAGCCAAGTCCTCACAAATATAAACCAGGTATCTGCATGCTTACCCTAGCAAGTGCTTCCTCAATAGTGATCATCTTTTCTTTGACCATCATCATTAGCTGAATCCGCTCCTCATCGCTCATCGTTATTTCACTGGCAACGTAACCAACATCTTCTCCTAGAGATTGGGGACAAAGAATAACAGGAATGAAAACATTAATGAGGAAACAGAATGTCAGTGCTGACACCTGCTGTCTCGGGCTAGGGAAGAATGTTGCTCAGGACACTACCTATGTTAAATGTTACTGAGGAAGCAACAGGGTAGCAAAAGTACGCTGCTTTTTAAGAGGCCAATAAGCACCTCTGATGAAGAAGAGGCGTGCAGAACATGTGGATGTCACCGTAGAAACAAATCCTTCAAGATGATCAGAGCCTTTGAGATGGAGCGCCCAGTGGATGGGTTTTGTAAGAAAGTGAGAGAGAGCTCCGCAATGTAGGTGGAGTAAAGATCTAATTCATACACCCAACTGGATCACACAAGCATTCCAAGGCTCCTTCAGCTGTGGGTTCTCTGTGTCCTTTCATTTGAAATATAAGTGAGAAGAAAATATTTTTGCAACGAAGTGGGAAAGAACGCTAGGTCATGACAGAAGGAGGAAGGTCACCGAGTCTAGACCCACGGCCTGGCAAAACCTCCTACTAAGCTATTTCACTGTTAACATTCCTCAGAACTAAGTGCAGCCTGGTGCAGTGGCTCACGCCTGTAATCCCAGCACTTTGGGAGGCCAAGGCAGGTGGATCACCTGAGGTCAGGAGTTCAAGACCAGCCTGGCCAACAAGGTGAAAGCCCATCTCCACTAAAAATACAGAAATTAGCCATGCACGGTGTCAGGCACCTGTAATCCCAGCTACTCAAGAAACGGAAACAGGAGAATTGCTTTGAGCCCAGGAGGCGAAGGTTGCAATCAGCCGAGATCTTACCACTGCACCCCAGCCTGGATGACAGAGCAAGACTCCATCTGAAGACCAAAAAAGAAAAAGAAAAAAAAAAAAAAACGCAAGTGCAAATCACAGACATGAAGCATATTGAGTCAATCAAAAGAAGGATGCCATACAGGTTTGTATCTGAAAGCATTATTGTCATAAATTGGTTTCCAAACTGAGGGAAAATCAACTTCCAATTCATACCTGGAAGCAGCTAGAACTGCACAGAAGAGAATGACCCATGAGATTCCTAAGATTTTCCTACAGAGAGAACAGACTGCTATTGTCTCCAGTATATCTGAGCCACCTTGGGCAACGGGGCCTCTGGTCAGCATGCGGGGAAGGACATTACAGCTCATGCTGTTGAACATGAGCTGTAAAATCCCCACTCCAGTCCTGCATCCTACACTCCTCCCCATCTTTCTCCTTTCTACTTTTCACCAGCTTCCAGTATCATTAGGATGCCTGGCTGTGGCTTAATTTGCCTTTGGTGTTAGGAACAGAGAGAAAGAGTCTGCCTGTAGACTTGTAGGGAACCATTTCAGGCACGGCTGACTTTAAAATTTATGTTGCCCTGTATTTCCCTATCTCATTTCCATTTTGTAATCAATCAATCCAAAAATACTCCTCAAGTTCCCTTTGCTGCGTACACAGGGGGAATAATAGCGTGTGCTGGGTGAAGAGAGAAGCCTCATGGCAGAGAGGGTGATGGGGAGTTGGTTGAATTCTTTAAAAATCCACATTATCTGGTAAACTGTGGACTTCCTCCTTCCCTCCCTCTCCCTGTTTCCTTAGCTTTCTTTCTAAATTAGACTTTGTTTTTTAGAATCCAAGGTTTATTTGGAATCACAAGTGATGCAGGGTGTATACAAAAAACAAACCTGGGAATGCTTAAAAGTAGTACAACTTAAAAAAAAAAAAAAAGAGCCATGTGGAATGTTGCCAAGGAACCCAGGTGTGCGGTGACTCGTGTGCTGTTCACATCCATTTTTCTCATTTCCACGTGTATGGATAATTAGACAGACATTCCACACAGTGCAGGACCCTAAGATTTTGTAAAGGAAATGAAGTAGTGTCACTGGTGATCAAGGAAAACTTTTTATCTATCGATAACCTCATTCAGCTGGACTGGAATCTGGAAGTGGATTTGTTCTGGTTTCTTCTCTGAATACTGGGGAAACATAAATTATATAACTGAGCCTCAAAGGGATGACATATTTACTTACTATATAAACAACAACAAAAGACACAGCAGAGAGTAGGGCAGAACTCCCTTCACAAAGCCGCCCGGGCAAATTCCCATGATGTCAGACCACTAGAGTTTCCAGGGGCAACACCCAGAACCGTCCCGCAGAAGAGCGTCAAACGTTCAGAAGAATGCAAAGGCTCTAAGTGGGGATGCAGACACCAGAGCCCCAAACCAACACATTGCAAGGGCTTGCTAGACCCTTTCGGGTTAGATCTCGACAAGAGAAGTCTAAAGATTCTTCTGAGGTTACTGTGACTGAAAAGACTAAAGATTTGGCCTCTGCTGTCAGATCTATGAAGGGAAAAAACTGTGAACTTGCCCCCTTTTGTTTTCTTTGACTTAAAAAAAAGAAAATCACTGGGACAAAGTCTTAAAGGAACAACAGGAATGTCAGAAAAGTTGAACGCTTTATGGGCATGTGCAGTGAGTTATGCTAACTTAGAGCATCCACTGAGGTTGGCAGCACAGGCTTCTTCAAATGTTAGAGCTAAAAGGACCTACTGTCCGCTGGCTGCATTGCAGTACCTTTTGAAGTCTGTCTCATTATTCCTTTCTGGTTCTTTCGGAAGTTCTGCCAGAAATACTTGTTTTTCTTCTTCCAGTCTCCTTTTCCTTAAAAAACAAAAAAAAAAAAAAAAAAAGGAAGAAAAAGCACAAGCAATAAATTCATTAATAACAAAAGCAGCCTCTTCCTTATAATTTGAAGCTAGTAAGAATACTTTGATTTCACAAAAGGACAGTTTTTTTTTCTTTCTTTCAGTTACTGGAAGAATGGGAGATGCCTATAAAGTTGTTTAAAAGAAATACAAATTTCCCGGTAGCATGAAACGGTGCAGCGGGGTTAAGATGAGAAACACAGAAACATCAAAAAGGAAGGCAAACCATGCGTTCTTGTGTTTACTTTGTTGCTTGTTTAACTACTAGGCCTAATTTGGCCTTGTCTTGCAGTATATTTCCCCCGCTTTGGTCTTAGCCACAATTATTTCAACTATACCACAAATAGGGTATTTTAAGAAGTTCACTTTGTTTTGTTGTTGTTTCTGTTGTTGATCTACCCTTGGTTTATTTCTGTTATTCCAGATTTAATGACACATACAGAATGGTTGGTATGTCCTGGACCCTCAGGTCAGGGGAGTGAGTCCCCTGGGTCTGTGGGTCTGGCCCCCACTGTTACTCTCTGAAGTGTGGTCTACAAGGTTCTGGGTATGGCATGACTCCCACGTCCCTGGCATTCAGGCTACCTGGTGACCCACCTACAGCTTACCCAGGGCACAAAGACAAGAAAGACTGCAATCCGGCTGTGGCATCTCCCAAATGGGTTTCCCTCTACGCGCCCCACCCCCATCCTTTCCAAACTACTGCAGTGACTTTCAAGGGAAAACAAATTCGCTGCTTTAGCGAGACATTTTTAATATGTAGTAGGGTTCCAATCATCAATAATATGTGATGCCTTTTTAAAAGCAAAGCAAAAGGGGAGAGTAAGTAAAACTAATGGATAGAGCTGTCCTTTATCCTTTACAGATGAAAAGCGGCAGCAGCGGTGTCTGCCATCATGCTGATGCGGCACATCCAAAATAGCTGCTTTGTCACCACTTGGTGTCTGGCTGGTGGCTCCATCGTCACTGGATACAGGGCCCAGCAAAGTGATGGGTTTCCCCAGTCTAGACTGGCGGTGCCAAGCAATGAAGCAGACACGTGGGAACCATGTCTATGGTGCTCCCAGGCTAGAAAGGGTGTCGTCTGTCAAAACAGGATGCCTGCATTTAAGTTCTGACAGCCCTCAGAGTTATGGGAATGAAATCTTCAGCCAAAGGCAGAGCTCTGTGCAAGTTTTATATTGCCCACTGCCTTTGGGCTTAACACTGAAGCAAATGTCAGCCATGCGGGGTTAAAGCAGGTTAGTTATTATTAACTCAACCTTTCTCTTGGACAGTTCAGAAATATTTATTTTATTTTCTTTATTTTTTGAGGCAGGGTCTTGCTCTGTTGCCCAGGCTGGTGTGCAGTGGTGCAATATCGGCTCACTGCAACCTCCGTCTCTCAGGTTCAAGCGATTCTCCTGCCTCAGCCTCCTGAGCAGCTGGGACTACAGTCATCAGACTAGCCAGGCTGGTTTTGAACTCCTCAACCTTCTGATCTACCCGCCTCGGCCTCCCAAAGTGCTGGGGTAACAGGAGTGAGCCACCGTGCCCAGCCTATTTATTTTCTTTTTAAGAGACACAGTCTTTGCCATTCAAACTGAAGCACAGTGTCGCAATCACAGCTCACTGTAGCCTCAAACTCCTGGGCTCAAGGGATCCGCCCACCTCAGCCTCCCAAGTAGCTGGGACTACAGGTGCATGCTGCTATGCCCAGCTAATTTTCAAATTTTTGGTAGAGACAGCATCTTGCTATGCTGCCCAGGTCAATCTCAAACTCCTGGGCTCAAGTAATTATCCCGCCTTGGGCTCCCAGATTGCTGGGATAAGAGAATTGAACCACTGTACAGGCTGAGAATGTATTGACGTGATATTCCCTTCTCCCTTCTCCCATTTTCATGCTTCTGAAACAGAGATGCAACCTAATGAATGGTAATAGCTAACATTTATTCAGCTATTATATCCAGGTACTTTGCTAGCAATGGCATATTTCATTTAACACTCAATTATATCATACATTATTGCACCAACCTAGCAGATGAGAAAACGGAGGCTTGGTACAGGTAAGCTACACAAGATGATAGCTATTCAGTTGGCAGATTCAAAGCCAGGCAGCCAGATTCCATTGAGTACTTACGTTCCTAATCACTATCACCCACCCACCCTCTGACCCAGACAAGGTAGCAGTTACTAAACCAAGAGTGAATTTTCTAATCAAGAATATATAAAATATACAATGCTTAATTGTGCATAATCTTAGATCTAAAAAATTCCAAATTGAAGGATTTATCCTAAGGACATTATCAGAGATACAGACCCCAGGAGTTTTACAGCAGCAGTACATTTTTAAGTCTGCATGATATTCCACCATATTGGATGTGCCATAAGTCAATTAACCAATTAGTTCTTTGCTGGATATTTAGGTTGCTTCCAACTTTTTCTCTACTAATGTAGAGAATATTCAGTCATGGGAAAATGCTCATAACATATTCAACTTAAAAACTATAAAACAGTATGCAGAATATAATCACAATTATTTTTTTAAACCCTAGAAAAAGAATAAGGTTGTACATCAAAATCTTAACAGTGTTTATTTCTGAGTAGAAGGATTATTTGTAGTTTTTATATTTTCACGTTTGTGTTTTCTATAAAGTATTCAAATAATTAAATAGGTAAACCAAGAAGAATGGTACTGACCTACAGAGCCGTCTTCTGAGTTTGATTTATGAAGAGGGTTCCTGGAAAAGAAAAACAAATCAGATTACCAGGGAGACTTGCCTTCATGGGAGAACTGGAAACCCTCCTAACTAGTCTGACCAGCATCAACACTACTTAATACAGCCAGGGAAATTGTTATAGGCTATTTACCACTGGCTTTTCTTAACCCATATGCTGACTTCCTAGAAATAGACTCGTGTGCCATTTGTCAACATTTATTAAAGACTCACTCGAAGGTGAGACCCGTAACATTAAATGAAGAAGACAGACTTCTTCACTAGATGATCACTGAAGTACCTTTCATTCTGTGAACTATTAATACAAGTGAAATTGCTGCCATTGGGAAGTCTCTTGTGTAAGAGGAAAAGAAAGCAAATGATAATAAAAACATAAACAGCACCGCAAATGCCACTTGGGCCCGCACATGAGTACAGGGGTCAGCTCTTGGGAAACAAAGAGGGCGGGGAGGCGGGGGAGAGACCCACAGCTGGAGACTGAGTGCCCCTAATAGGGGCCGGCCAGTACGGAGTTCCTCCAGTTGGTTGCTGCCAGTTGGCAAGTGTAATGTCCATCCCGCTGAATGTTCCAATGTTCAGAAGCCAGAAATCTGCATTTTTTTTTTAGATGGGGTCTTGCTCTGTTGCCCAGACTGGAGTGCAGTAACACAATTTCAGCTCACTGCAACCTACGCATCCCGGGTTCAAGCAATTCTTCTGCCTCAGTCTCCCGAGTAGCTGGGATTATAGGCATGCACCACCATGCCCAGCTAATTTTTGTATTTTTCGTTGAGACAGGGTTTCACCATGTTGGCCAGGCTGGTCTTGAACTCTTGACCTCAGGTGATCCACCCGCCTCAGTCTCCCAAAGTGCTGTGATTACAGGTGGTGAGCCACTGCGCCTGGCCAGAAATCTGAATTTTTATATGAGACCTCTAACATTTTTAAGTGGTGGCAAATAAACCAGTTTTTAAAAATGTGTCCAAATTAATCAATACATGTCTGGGCATCGAATTTGCCCCCTACCCTAACACCTTTGGCTGCCAGTTTGTGAAGGCAGATACGGATGAACTCAAATAATCTGAAAAGTGTACACAGCCGAAAACCAGTTCATTAAGCATTTATCCAGAAAAAAACTCAGATAAACAAAATTTAAAGAAAGAAAGCATGAAAATGGGAGAAGGGAGTAGGGAATATAGCTTCAATATGTTCTCAGCCTGTATTGATTCAAAGCCTTTCTTTGTTCTTTTTTGGGAAAACCAAAGAAAGTTAAAAGTTGGTTGCATCAAAACGGGAACAAGGCGGGCAGATCACTTGAGTTTGAGGCCAAACTGGACAACATGGCAAAACCCCATCTCTACTAAAAATACAAAACTTAGCCAGGTGTGGTGGCGCACGCCTGTAATTCCCACTACTTGGAAGGCTGAGGCAGGAGAATTGCTTGAACCCAGGAGGCAGACGTTGCAGTGAGCCAAGATCGTACCACTGTACTCCAGACTGGGTGACAGAGCGAAACGTGGAAGAAAGAAAGAAAAAAAGGGAGGGAAGGAAGGAAGGAAGGAAGGAAGGAAGGAAGGAAGGAAGGAAGGGAGGGAGGGAGGGAGGGAGGGAGGGAGGGAGGAGCATGGAACAAAATCTTTCATTAGGTGGGTCCAAAGCCCAGAAGGAAAGTTCAGTATCCTTGGGCTTGTAGCCAAGGAAAACCAGAAAGAAGGCACCTGCATCAGAACAGACACAGACACTTTGGGTATTTAAACCCGAATCTGCACTACATGTTCACTGCCAGGAAGGAAGATGGAAGAGGTGATTTTCACATCTGAATGAGTGAAAAGACCAGAGAGTTGGAGGCCAGAGATGAGTTATACTAAAAAAATTTTAGAGGAAAGGCTGAGCAGGAGGAGAACAGCCTGGGCAACATAGTAAGACACCATATCTACAAAAAAAAAAAAAAAAACTTTAAAAACGTTTAGCTGGGCATGGTGACATGAGCCTATAGTCGTAGCTACTCGGAAGGCTGCAGCAGGAGGACTACTTGAGCCTAGGAGTTCAAGGTTGCTGTGAGCTATGGTCGCACCACTGACCTCCAAACTGGGTGACTGAATGAGACTCTGTCTCTTAAAAAACAAAATACGGTACAGGAAGAGAAACTGAACATCCTAATCACCTAAAGTGATTTTCTGTCTACCTTTTGGATAGAAGGACCTTGAGAATCTAAGGTGACCAGAGAGAGGGGAGGGAGGCTTTTTCATGCAGAGCTGCCTTTAATAAGCCACCACCCTTTGGTAGTTGCATGGGTGTGGGCTGATACTGGGTGCCATTTCTGAGTGGCAGGCCCAGCCCTGCAAGCACCACCATTCTCCACCACTGAGTGCGGTGAGCTGTGGATGACCAGCACAAAAATCTGAAAGCCTTCTATTGTAAACTAGGGGAGAGTCCAAGCTCAGAACAGAATCAGGGAAGAAACCGCTGCAGAGGACAAGAGCTAGATTTGAGTTCTAGTTATTTCCCCTTACTCCTATGCTGTGAATACAGAACATGTAAGGAAAATCCCACCTATCACCAGATTGTGCCACAACATGGCTGAGACCTCTTTCCTGCCTCCTATCCCCACAACAATTCAAATCCCTATATTTACCTGCAAGGCTTTTAGGAGGTAGCCATTTGAAAATGTAAATCATTCAGTCAAAATGTAGCGAATAACACCACAAGTAAGGGACATGGATGAATAGGAAGAAAGGGGACCCAGAGGCTGGAGAGGAGGCGAGACTGGAACAGAAAAGCCTAAGAAAGGATGGGGGTGGGGGATGAAAGGAATGAGGAAGAGAAGCAGCCAATGTGACTCTCAGGGCCACAGGAGAAGCTGGAGCAAAATAAGAGCAAGCTAGCAGGCTGGAGGCTGAGGCAGGAAATCCTCTGAAAGAAAGATGAGTTTCTGCTTACTTTAGATTCTTAATTTTTTTTTTTTTTAATCTTACTGTGCTGGACTTTGCACTTCAAGTCATGGGGCTGTGCATCTGCTCACCTTACTTCAGTGGGCCGGGGTCTGCAGCTGGTAAACCGTGTTTTCTGTAAGGGGAGGTCAGAGGCACAGGGAGCCCCACATGTATTTTTGTCCTCACACTAAGGACTAGGGATGTCTTTTTTTTTTTTTTTTCTTTTTTCCTGAGATGGAGTCTCGCTCTGTTGCCCAGGCTGGAGTGCAGTGGCGTGATCTTGGGTCACTGTAACCTCTGCTTCCTGGGTTCAAGCGATTCTTCTCCCTCAGCCTCCAGAGTAGCTGGGATTACAAGCACATGCCAGCATGCCCAGCTAGTTTTTTTTCTTTTTTATTGAGACAGAGTCTTGCTCTGTTGCCCAGGCTGCAGGACAGTGGCGCGATCTCGGCTCACTGCAACCTCTGCCTCCCAGGTTCAGGCAATTTTTCTGCCTCAGCCTCCAGGAACTACAGGTGGGCACCACTATACCCAGCTAATTTTTGTATTTTTAGTAAAGATGCAGTTTCACCATGTTGGCCAGGCTGGACTTGAACCCCTGACCTCAGGTGATCCACCTACCTCGGCCTCTCAAAGTCCTGGAATTATAGGCGTGAGCAACCATGCCTGGCCAGGACTATAGAAGTCTTGACATAATTGCTAAGGACCAATAACCCTACCTCGGGATAAAACTGATTAGGTAATAAGTCAAAACATAAACTGTGAACTTCTACTTTCCCTGAGGGTCACCAAAATACTTCAAAAAGCACACTGCAGAAAAACGTACGCTCTCAGTGCTCCACCATTATCACAAAATGTAATCATATTTTCCTCTCTAAAATGATGACTGACAATAGTTTCATTATTTTTCATCTACAGTCTTCAAATTGTCACACACTTTGAATAACTGTATCATCTAGTTTAAGCTTGTCCCAGGCACTGCTTGAATTTCCCCAGGTAGCCAGCAGATGGCACTGTAGTTTCTTTATTCATCTTGCTGTGGTGAGTGGGATTTTGTTTTTAAAATTTCACAAGTTCACCACCTAGATGCTGGCCAAAGAATAACAATCCCATGTTTCATAAGCGTGAGGCTCTCCAGCTCATCAAATTTGCAAAGGAGGAAAATGACACCGTATGAATTTGGATGCAGTGACTTCTCCCTGCAAACAGAAGCTGGCATAGAAGCAATGCAAAATGCCATCTCCTTTCTCCTTGAGACTGACTATTAAAATTCATCCAGCAGGAGCAAAAATCAATGATATAACCCCAGTCCAAATGTGGATGGCAGCAGGTGGAAAGGGTCATTTACTGATCTCCTGGTGGAAGAAATTAATGCTGAGACGTCAGTTCCAAAGAAGCCTCCTGGTAGAATCTCCTTCCTCCAGCCAGATGCCCCAGGCCCGAGGATGGTGGGTGCTGGAGGTGGATCTGCTCTTTGGACTCATTTTTTTCAATGTCAATGGCTAGAAAGGATGGGAACAGCATGGATTTTGATGACCAGGAAGCAATAATTAATATTTCTGCTGTGCTTTAAAACTCCATTTAAACATTTAATTATCATGAAGTATTGGATTTAAAGTCTCAGAAATAAACCTTAGAAAATACTGTAACTCCTACTATTTTAAGACCCCAAACCTGCTTAAGTGTCAACATTTTTCCTCAAGATCCCTACACTGCTTTAGCTGTTCCGGAAGGCAAAATTCACTTAAGAAAATTCCTACATTAAGGAATTTATCAATTGCATTTTAAAAAAAAAAAAAAAGTAAGAGACAGCATCCCCAGAACTGAACTAGTTTCGTTCCTCCGACCTCCATCTTTAACAAATTCTTTGTTAAATTTCTTTGTGTATTCATTTTCACTCATTCTTTCATTGAGTGCTTATTTATTCACCTCCCAGTAGGAGTCAGCATCCTCTGAGGTTCTGAGAACACAGCAATAAACAAGACAGATTCAAGGAGGGAGACTGCAGAGTCAAGAAGTGGGAAGTGGGGAGAAGTTGAGATGATGGGACAGAGAAGGCATCTCTGAGCAGAAACCTCAACAATGAGCTGA